TCTATCTATCTATCTATCTATCTATCTATCTATCTATCTATCTATCTTACTTTGTTGGGTTTAGAACTCTGTATAGGCTAGGCAGGCACTGTAGCACTGAGTTACATCCCTTTTATTCCCATTCTGTTGGACTTTGTATTTTTTTGTCATTTCTATAATGTTATGTCCTTGGAATCCTATAGCGTGGAGCCTTTTCACATTGGCTGCTTTATTTAGCAATATGTATCTATTGTTTGCATTTTTATGACTTGGTAGCCCATCTTTTAGGGCTGTTGTCTGGTTGTACCACATATGTATTCCATATCCTGTAGAAGAATTTTTCTTCTGATTTTTGGAAGTTATTAATATGGCCATGATAAATAGTTGTGTACAGATTTTGTTGAAGTTGTTTGGGTAAATGATAGAAACAGTTGGGCTGCAGTGTAAGTAGATGTTTTCTTTTGTAAGAACCTGCTATTTTCCAACATGTAACATTTTTCTTTCCCACCAGCTCTGAGACTTGCTTTACGCCCCTATCAGTGTTCGATGTTATCAGTGCTTTCACTGTTAGTGTAATAGGTGTACTATTAGAAACCACATTTCTATTGTCATTTGAAATTTTTCAGTGACATGTAATATAGAGCATGTTCTCATATGCTTAACTGCCACTTGTCTGCTGAGATGTCTGATCAGATACTTTGCCTCTTTTTATTTAATTATTTTTATTAATTATAGTTTATTCACTTTGTATCGCCCCTGTACCTCCCACCCTCCTCCCCTCCCAATCCCACCTTCCCTCTTCCCCACCTGTGTCCCTCTCCCAGTCCACTGAAAAGGGAGGTGCTCCTCCCCTTCTCTCTGACCCTAGTCTATCAGGTCTCATCAGGAGTGACTGCATTGTCTTCTTCTGTGGCCTGGTAAGACTGCTCTCCCCCTCAGGGGGAGGTGATCAAAGAGCAGGCCAATCAGTTCATGTCAGAGACAGTCCCTGTTCCCATTACTATGGAACCCACTTGAATACTGAACTGCCATAGGCTACCTCTGTGCAGGGGTTTCAGGCCATCTTTATGAGTGGTCCTTGGCTGGAGTATCCATTTTAGAAAAGACCGTTGTGCTCAGAATTTTAAGATCTGTTGCTTTCCTTGTAGAGCTCCTGTACTCTCCAGGTCTTACTATCTCCACTACTTTCATAAGATTCCCTGTACACTGCCCAAAGTTTGGCTATGAGTCTCAGCATCTGCCTCAATACCCTGCAGGGTAGAGCCTTTCAGAGGCCCTCTGTGGTAGGCTCCTGTCCTGTTCCTCGTTTTCTCCCTCCTCCGATGTCTATCCTCTTTGCCTTTCTGAATGGGGATTGAGCATATTAGCCAGAGTCCTCCTTCCTCATTAGCTTCCTTAAGTGTACAAATTTTAGTATGTTTACCGTATATTATATGTTTAATGTCCACTAATGAGTGACTTATACACTGTATGTCTTTCTGCTACTGGGCTATCTCACTCAGGATGATCTTTTCCAGTTCCCACCATTTACCTGCAAATTTCATGATTTCCTTGTTTTTCATTGCTGAGTAATATTCCATTGTGTAGATGTACTACAATTTCTGTATCCATTCCTCAACTGAGGGGCGTCTGGGCTGTTTCCAGCTTCTGGCTATTACAAATAAAGCTGCTACAAACATGGTTGAGCAGATGTCCTTGTTGTATACTTGAGCATCTTTTGCATATATGCCTAGCAGTGGTATAGCTGAATCTTGAGGAAGCGCTATTCCTAAATGTCTGAGAAAGCACCAGATTGATTTCCAAAGTGGTTGTACAAGTTTACATTCCCACCAGCAGTGGAGGAAGGTTCCCTTTTCTCCACATCCTCTCCAGCATGTGTTATCGCTTGAGGTTTTGATCTTAGCCATTCTGATGGGTGTAAGGTGAAATCTCAGGGTCATTTTGATTTTCATTTCCCTGATGACTAAAGACATTGAACATTTCTTTAAGTGTTTCTCTGCCATTCGATATTCCTCTATAGAGAGTTCTCTGTTTAGCTTTGTACCCCATTTTTAATTGGATTACTTTATTTGTTGCTGTTTAACTTCTTTAGTTCTTTATATATACTGGATATTAGCCCTCTGTCAGATATAGGGTTGCTGAAGATTCTTTCCCAATTTGTAGGCAGTCATTTTGTTTTGATGACAGTGTCCTTTGCTTTACAGAAGCTTTTCAGTTTCATGAGGTCCCATTTATCGGTTGTTGCTCTTATACAAGTTTGTATCATCGTTTTTAGCAGTGACTTTGGTATAGCACATATTGATTTAATGAAATTTTACATATCCATATTTTCACTGAATCATACTTTTGATGTGTTTAAAAGTCTTGTCAATTTAAAGTCATGTAGATTTTCTGCTTCCTCATCTTGTTTTGTAACACCTGAAGGCGGTCTCAAACTTGTATCTTGCTGCTTAGACTTTTAAGTACTGTCATAGGTGTGTCTTATCATATGTGGACAGATTTTCTCTGTCATTATCTTCCAAGATTTTAAAATAGTGTCACCTAGATTTGACTAGGGAAATGGCACCCATGAAATCTTAACAACATGGTTACTTAAAGAAGACTGGCATAATTATACCACCATTTGATATGCTTTGTGGACAATGAAAAATTTCAGAATTGAAAATTGAAAATTTTTATCATTTCTGTTAGCATACAAATAAATGTATTTCAGTGTGACATTTCTACACATATACGTCATTATTATTTTCTTTTGCTCTACTTAGTTCTTCATACTCCTTTGGCTGATATTCTTCCTCCCCCAAAAGTTCATATATCAGCTTTCATAATATACATTCTAATCCTTTCTTGTTCTTTCCCCCTCCTCTAGTTCACTCCAAGGAAAGTTCTACTTCCCTGTCCTATAAAAACACATATAAAGATAAATTAAGATTCTGATTAAGAGGAGTGATGTGGTACTGTTTTCCCGACCTTGTCTTATTTCACTAAACCTTATGATTTATAATTCTGAAAATGGCATGATTTTGTTTTTTAATGCTAAATAAAATTCAATTCTGTTCATGCATCTCATTTTCAAAATTCTGTTCATCTGTTGATGGGCATCTAAGCTTGTTCCATACCATGGCTGTTGTGGATAGTGCAATAATAAACAGATGTACCAGTGTTTCTATAGTATGCTGACTTAGAGTACATACTACAGAACTTAGAGTACATACTACAGACTTAGAGTCCATACGTAGGAGCTGTGTAGCTGGTTAATATGATAATTCTTTTATTTTTGCAGAACCCTCAGTTATCATTGAAAATATTTCTTCATTCCATCTTTTTCGCTTGAATTCTGAGTACACATATGCTAAACATTTTGTCTACAAGTTCTCAGATATTTTATGTTGTTTATTTTCTTTGTTTTGACCTTTGTATTGATGTACATTCAAGATTGCTGATTTGTTTCCCATATTGTCAGGACTCTCACTCAGGGTCCTATCTAGGCTTAGTTGGTTGCTGTACCTCTGAGCACTATCCCCAGGCATAGACTTACTCATTCTTTCCTCAATCTTGTTTTTACTGGTGGTGAACTCAATAAAGCATGCTTCATTTCTGTTACAATGTTTTAGATGTCTGGAATTTCCTTTGGATCCATGCTTCAAGGTTGTTGGGTTTTTGTTTGTTTGTTTTGTTTTGTTTTTTGTTTTTTTTTTTTTTTGGTCTTCCCATACCACATCTACGGTTACATGTTGCTCTTATTTTCACTAGAACCCTTTTAATTTTACCATAGTTGTTTAAAATTCATGGTCTTATAATTCTACAGCCTCTGCCTGCTCTTAGTTTCTGCTGCTTGTTCTCACACTTCAGACTGTATTTTTTTTTTTTTTGGCCTTTTTTGCTTTTCTGCATAAAAGGCAGAAAAGGATGTTTGGCTAAAGAAACTGAAGTAAGTACTTAATGTGAGGTTTCATCCTTATTTGACTAGGACGTATGTTGGGCTTAGTTTGTTCATACTGCAGTTTCTTTGGATCTCTTGTCTCTGTGTTTTCTTGGCAATTTATTGTTAGGTTGGCTGTAGTTCCTCACTGGGAGTTATCCCCACAGCTCTGAACACCTTTCACTCCCAGGTGTCTGTTGTCATGGGTTCTGATTCTCTCCATTCAACTACAATCTCATCTTTGCAGCAGCACTTATCCTTATGACTTGAATTTTCTGTTGGATTTAAGAATGCTTTTCTAGCTTGTTAAGCTTTTTTCTTGATTTGAAAATCTAATTTATCACTCCCAGGCTTCCAACATGTTGGACTAGAAATAGGACGCCTTGAGGCTTTTTGATATCCTGGTTTTGTATACCCTCTATAAAATGTAAATAAAGAAAACAATAGAAATAGCATATTTGCAGGGTGCTCGATGATGCCTCTTCAGCTGTAGATGCTGACTGATGCTATCACTCCTGACTTTCAAAACAGATCATGTTCATTTGTGACATTTGTTGCCTTCTTTCTACAGGCAGACCTTCAAGTGGATAAGGAAAGGCACAATTTCTTCGAGTCTTCTCTTGATTATGTCTATCAAATTCAGGAAGTTCAGGAGTCCAAGAAGTTCAATATCGTGGAACCAGTAAGTTCTATCTGTTGGTGAATACATGTATACCTGCACATGTATGTACACATGCACATCCTTCCCAAATGTCCAAGTGAATGTGAAGAGCTTCGGTCATAAGATTGGCAGCTCAAAGAATAAAAACACCAATCCATGCTCAACAATATATGTCAATCATTTTGTCACACAGTTTTTTTTTTCTTGCTCTTTTAGAGATGTTCACTGTTTTGCTCTCCGTTTATGACCATTTTCCCACTTAAACGTTTTCCTCTGATTTTATCTCCCAAATTCTACATCACACTTTATTTTTCACTTCAAAAAGTAATATTTTATTAATGATTGGAGAATTTGATAAAATTTGTCTTGATCTCATTCACCATACTACTTTTAATTCCTCCCATATGTACACTCATAACATCCCCCTCTTCTTTTTTTAAAGAAAAGACTATCTCAATTCTCTTTTTCTTTTTTAAAGAAAAGGCTATCTCGCAGCTGCTTTCCTGGTTCTTAACAATATCTCTGCCCCCTTTTCTGTGATGTTTGCTTAAGATTAGGGGTAGTGTTCTAAATGTATTGACTGGAGGCAGGGACTCTGTTATCAGTTTATTTCTGAATTTTGAGCACTTGTAGGTTTCTGTAATATTCTCCATATACTGCAAAACTAAACTTATTCTGTGAGTGCTAAGAGCTACACTTATCTCTGGATGTAAGGATGAGTATTTAGAATACAGTTATGTAGAGTATGCTGGTTTAGGAAGATGGCTGGGGCAAATTCTACTCTGGGTAGCATGACCTCACCAGCCATAGATAGCTAGCTAAATTAATAGTGCCCAGTATGCATTCCCTCCCATTGGTAGACCTTAAATCCAATCAGTGACTGTTACGTATTTAAATACATCATTGTATGTTTCAGTATATCTTGCCATGCTTTCATTGTTCTTGTTTGTTGCCATTATAACTGCATCGGACTTGATTGCTCCCCTCCCTTGCCAGCTTGCATGACTTCCTGAAACTATGAGGACTAAGCCTCAGAGAGGAGTCTTCCAGGTCAGATCTCAATCAGTTCCTCCAAATCTTGTGTCTGAACAACCAGGCCTTATCTTCTATTTTGAAAGGTACCAAAGGCAGCAGCAATAGCCTATATTGTTTTGGGGCAGATCTCTTGGACTCCTTTAACCAATAACAAAATGGGTTTGATATGCCTGGCACTAGGTTTTTGTCAGGTATTGTATATTCTTTGGGGGAAGGGTCATTGTCATCCCAATGGGTGTAACTTCCAGTAAATGATATATCTCTTGTTGTGTGAGTATACACATAAACTTTTGGGGCTGAAGAGATAGCTCAGAAGTTAAGAGCACTGGATGCTCTTCCAGAGGTCCTGAGTTCAATTTCCAGCAACCACATGGTGGCTCACAACCATCTATAATGAGATCTGGTGCCCTCTTCTGCCGTGGGGGTATACATGCAGAAAGAATATTGTATACATAATAAATAAATAAATCTTTAGAAAAAATATGATTCCGTACTGTTTTTTCAGTCATTTCTAGTGTTATTTATTCCTTGTCCTTTCCTTTCCGTTTGCATTGCTATCCTTCTCTCCTCAGGCCCCACCAAGGGATTCCAACTTACTTCACCCCTTAAAGCAACTGTGTCCTACAAATCCCTGTCTAGTGTTCCTGCTCAGCCTATCCTCTGCTATGTTCTGTTCTGTTCTTTTCTTTTTTTTTTTTACTTTTCTGGTAGCTGCAGTTATTCTGAGTTATAGACTCACTTCTGTATATTTGAGGTTAGAGTCTGAGTTACCCCACTCAATATAATATTTTCCATTTCATCCATTTATCAGCAATTTTATGATTTTATTTTTTATCACAACTGAATGTAAGTGCCATATTTTCATTATCTTTTCCTCAATTGTAGGGCATTTGGATTGTTTCTAAGCTTTTCCTTGTTAATGTAATTTTTTTATTTATTACAATTTATTCACTTTGTATCCCAGCTGAAGCCCCCTCCCTCATCTCCTCCCATGCTCCTTCCCCAGTCCCCTCCTCCCATTCCATCTGACCTTAGCCTATCAGGTCTCATTAGGACTGGCTGCATTGTCTTTTTCTGTGGTCTGGTAAGGCTGCTCCCCCCTCAGGGGGAGGTGATCAAAGAGCCAGCCACTGAATTCATGTCTGAAACAGGCCCTGTTCCCCATACTGGGGAACCCACTTGGAGAATGAGTTGCCATGGGCTACATCTGAGGAGGGGTTCTAGGTTATCTCCATGCATGGTCCTTTGTTGGAGTATCAGTCTCAGAAAAGATGCCTGGGCCCAGATTTTTTGGTTCTCTTGCTCTTCTTGTGGATTGTTTCTATTTTTTAACTATCATGTAGAGCAGTAGTGATCATTGTAGAGTAGGATAAAGAATCTTTTGGGTATATCACAAGAGTGGCAGGTAGGTCTCTGTTCAGTTCTATTGCTCATTTAAAATATCTTTGGTTGCTTGTTTTCTTGACTCTTTTTTAAAAGATACATTATATGGATTTTGCTTCTCTAGCTGTGCGGAAGGTTTTTAGTTTTATGAAGTCTCACTTATCTGTTATTGGCCTAATCCTGGGCAAATTGAGTCCTGTTCAGAAAGTCCTTTTCTGCACCTGAATCTTTTTGGATAGAGCCTCTGTTTTCTTCTAGCTGTTTCAGGATTTACAGTATTTGGTTAACTTAAAGTTAATTTTGTACAGAGTGATTGATAGAGGCCAAATTTTATTTATCTACATGTAGACATCCAGCTTTACCAACTCTGTGTGCTGAAGATGCCATATTTTTTGCAAAGATTTTCAGCATCTTTGTCAAATATTAGACAGCTATAGATACATTTACTTGTATTGGAGTTTTTTTCTCCATTGTCTATAAGTCTGATTTTGTGCAAGACCATGCAATTTTTTTTCACTAGTGTAGCCCTGTAATAAATCTTGACATCTGGAATATGAATTGCATTAGTATTTTTCTTTTTAGGCAGTATTGCTTTGGCTATTTAGGAGTCTTTTGTTGTTCCCTATAAATTTTAAGATTTTTTTTTCCTCCAATCTTTGATGAATGTGTTATTTTGATTTGGTTTGTACTGAATCTGTAAGTTGTTTTTGTAGAATGGTCATTTTCACAATAATATTCTAATAATATTCTACCTGTGAGCATGGAAGCTGTTTCAATTTTCTAGTGTCTTTCTCAGTCCCTTTCTCCAGAGATTTCATTGTAGAAGTCTTTTTCTTTCTCTTCTGGTTGTTCAAATCCTAGTGTGTATTTTTGTTTTGTTTTGTTTTTAAGCTATTGTGAGCGGAAACATAGTCTTGATCTCTTTTTCAATGTGTTTTCTGTAGGTATATATAATAGCCACTGATTTTTGTAAGTTATCCTGCCACTTTGCTGAAATTGTTAATCATTTCTAGTTTTCTGGTGGTGTTTTTGTGATCTCTTATGTATAATATCATTTGCAAATGGGGCTAATTCAGCTTTTCTTGTTTGTATCCCTTTAATTTTATTCTCTTATTTTATTGTTCCAACCAGTGTTTTGAGAACTATATTTGAAAGTAGTGGAGACAGTGGACAGCCCTGTCTCATTTCTGATTTTAGTGGAAATTTTCTTTGACCGTTTCCCCTATACTCCAATGTTCACTGTAGGTCTGTCATGAAAACATGTTGGATTTTGTCAAAGGCTTTTTCTTCATCTATTGAGATGATCATGTGAATGTTTTCTTTAAGTTAATTTATATGATTTATTACACTTGTGGATTACATATGATGAAACTGCCCTGCATCTCTGGGCTAAAGCCAACTTGATCATGATGAGTGATCTTTTTGATATATGCCTAAATACAGTTTGAAAGTATGTTATTGGGGATATTTGCACCTATGTTTATCATGGATGTTGGCTGTAGGATTTGTTGTTACTGTGTCTTTACCTGGTTTTGCTATTAAATAATACTGGCTTTATAAACTCTCTCTCTCTCTCTTTGTGTGTGTGTGTGTGTGTGTGTGTGTGTGTGTGTGTGTTTTAAGACAAGGTTTCTCTGTGTATCCCTGACTGTCCTGGAATGCCCTCTGTAGACCAGGCTGGCCTTGAACTCAGAGATTTACCTGCCTCTGCCTCCAAATTGCTAGGGTTAAAGATGTGAACCACTGTGTTAATTTTTCTTCCTGGATCATCTTTGAAAGGCTTACATTATTCTGCTATGAATCCATCTGGGCCTGGACTTCTGGGCATTCTACTCATGCTTTCTGAAAGCTTCAAAATCTATGTATCATATACTTCAGCCTGTGCTAAGAACTCATTGCCCTTACATTCAATCATTTCCTGTTCTACTATTTTTATATCTACCTTACGTAATTGTTTCTACTAAATTACCTTTGATTTATTACAAAATTTAGTGTTTTGATTTGAAAATATGCTGATTTTTGACAACTGTTTTTTTTTTTATATTACTATGTAGTGCATTCATCACAGAAAGGGTTAAAATAGTGCATTGGATGGTCAAAAATCCCTTATACAAAAAATAACTTCATCGGTTCTATATTATTTTCCCTTCCAAGTTGTTTGTGTATATATCTCTTTCTATGTGCTTAACATATACTTTTGTTATGGATTTTTTTCCATTATTACAGGAAGAACTTATTGAAATAAAATTTTACGAGACAAAATATGGATAAACTTGCTTACATTTTGGTGTGTATATCTATATCTTACCTAAGTAAAGCTTTATAAGTAATGCAACACTCCGGCTACATATTTCCAAAGACTTAACTGCTTTATACATACATGTTATAAAGATACTTATGTAAAAGGCAAAAATGAAGAATCAACATAATCCTTGAGGTTTTTCAGTATTACTTCAAAAAGCTCTCTCTCTCTCTCTCTCATAGTAGAAAACTATGCATCTGTTTATCCTAGAAAAAAAATGTAAAAGGATAATGCTATCATGTAAAGGAGTCACAGAACATAGCTGTATGTCCCATGACATGTACTTTTGAGTATGAATGTCTCTCTATATATGGCATGTGAGATTGTATGACTGAGTATGTGTGTGCTGATAAGTGTATTTTTATAACTCTGTATGTACTATGTGAAAGTAAGTATGCATTCATTTATTGAAGAATCAGCAAGAATTTTGTTGTATATTGTAGTAAACCAGAGTGACAGGTTCTTTCTTTATGAACACTATACTCCCATGGAGTAGCAAGAAGTGACGGAGCTATGTACATGATCAAAAAAGTTGTGAGAAGAGCTACATATGTGCAGGGGTTCTAGATTATCTCCATGCATGGTCCTTGGTTGGAATATCACTCTCAGAAAAGATCCCTGAGCCCAGATTTTTGGTACTATTGCTCCTGTCCTCTCCAGATCTTTATATCTTCCCCTTCTTTCATAAGATTCCCTGCATTCTGCCCAAAGTTTGGCTATGAGTCTCAACATCTGCTTTGATACCCTGCTGGGTAGATGCTTTCAGAGGCCATCTATGGTAGGCTCCTGTCCTGTTCCCTGTTTTCTCCCTAAGTGGGTTACATAGTAATGGGAAGAGGGACTGTCTCTGACATAATCTGATTGGCCTGCTCTTTGATCACCAACCCCTGAGGTGGGGAGCAGCCTTACCAGGTGACTGAAGAAGACAATGCAGCCAGTCCTGATGAGGGATATGTGGAGATCAAATGATAACTGTGTGATCTGAGGAGTGACCTCAGGTTGTCAGGTTTGTTTAGCAAGTGTCCTTACCCAATGAGCTAGCTCACCGGCCATAGCTTGAATGTTTGGAAAATTAAAAAAGTAAACACCTCATCATTTGTACATCATCTTCTGCAAGAAGCAACTACTACGGGCTACTCCTGAGGGCATATTTGTCAAATATCTGTTTTCAAAAATTCTTGGGAAAAGAAGTGGTTGGGAGTTTTGAAAAAAAAAAATTGGAATATGTGCATTCACATAATGAAACATCTTAAATTGATCCCCAGTATAAACACAAAGTCTGTTTATATTTCTTATACACCTTATCCTCATAACCCAAAGATTTTATAGACTATTTTTAGTGTGTTTGCATTTTCCACAGTGTGCCTGAGGCAAATCACATGCGGTCAGATGCCATTTTTGGCATTTGAAATTTTCAGTTTTGGATTTGATATTTTTGGATGAGATATGCTGTACCTGTTTAGAGAAGGAACTTCAGTTTTTGCAGTATATAATTCCCGCGTGGCTTTGTATGCTGTCTAAAATGGATCCAGTTACTAGTCCTTTCTGAGACTGAATGCATGAAGTCTTTAACCTAATCTGAAAATGCTTACGTGTATACCCACTTGTGCTACCAGGACTGCTCTTATCAGTGTCCTTGGTAAACATTCTGAAGATTCTTCCCTGACTTCATGGTGATAAAAGTGGGTTTCTAAAGGCGATTTTGTCTGTTTCCTTTAGGTCTTGGCCTTTCTTCACAGCCTCTTCATTTCCAACAGCTTGACTGTGGAGCTCACACAAGATTTCCTCCCATACAAACAGCAGCTGCAGCTCAGTTTACAGAACGTGAGTGGCATGTGGATGTCTTCACCTGTCTTTCCAGTGGGGTTTGAGCCCCAGTGGTCTTAACTTTGGAATTACAGGTTATTGAACTACAGCCAATTGGTCCAGACAAAGTGGTATATATATAGTATATAGACAACATTTTATCAGGTGCTACATTGCATGTTCTTGCAAAATAGTTTTGACACTTCCTTCTCTTTGAGCTGTCCTATTGTCCAAACCTATCCTTATTCAGGAACACCTTGATCTAGCCGGGATTGAGTAAGTGTTGATACTTCACTATATCTCTTACAGATCAGAATCTGGCTGTAGGTTTATTTAAATTTGAAGCTTAGACCTTAAGCTACTTCCCAAGTCAGTTGAGCCACTTGATGTGGGCTTTATTGTTGTGAATACCCCTTATTTCTTCTTTCTCTCATCACTTAGTAGAGTTAAGCAAATGAATTTTAAAGCATATCTCCATCTTTGTGTACACACTAGTGCTTGTAAATGAGTATAGACACAGCATTTTTATGTATTGGGAAGTGAGGATTCACTAGTTTATCATTTGATGGGTATTTATGGATACCATGAAAATACATCTTGTTTAAGACATACCAGAATGAGGCATCACGGCTTGTCTGTCTTGAAGGATCACATATTTTCTTAGAGTAGAGGCATAACTACAGATAAATCAGAATCCCTTAGAGTACTGTTACTATATGGAATCAAAGCAGCATTTTTTAAAACACAGAGAATGTAACAATTGGTAGTCTGAGAAGATGTCACTAAGATCAGGTGTCATGGGACCAGGTGCTACATTGCATGACATTCATAGATGTGTTTTTTAAATTAAAAATTGACTATAAGATGCTTGCTTAGGGAGATTGTGGTGTACAGTTTTACCTACTTTTTTCTTTCTGCATTTATTCCTTCCTTCTGGGTCCTCTCCTTTACCTGAACGTGAGAGTACCTATTTTCTGCTGACTTACAAAATCTTTCTACAATCAAGTTGACTCTTCTGCCATGTGTAACTTGACAAATGTGAGCTAATACCAAGAGTTTGCATGTGTACTCATGGCTGACTCATTGTTGACAGTCAGTGTAGTTCATATCTTCTCCACTAACATAAAGAAGTTGCCATGATACTATTATCTCTGAAAAACTTTGCCATAGTTGCCATTATTGTAAAGTAAGGGTCAGTCTAATCTCAGAATTTCAAAGTTTCTTATTTTCTTGACGCTTAAATTAACTCCCCTGGGTAAAACCTCTCGCTTCTTGTGGTATCTCTGTTTTTGTTTCCTTTCTAGTACATAGGACCATTAAACCCTAGACTTGTTTTTTAGTTGCTACTATTCAGCACTTTTCTATGTTTTAGCACATTCTGTGAGCAGAGAAATCTCTGTGTTATATCTATGACTGATAAATAAACAGTCCTGTTGATGATGATGATGACAATAATGATTATAATGATTTCTTAACAGACAAGAAATCATTTCTCCAGTACCCGGGAAGAGATGGAAGAACTTAAGAAAAGAATGAAAGAAGCTCCTCAGACATGCAAACTTCCAGGACAGCCAACCATTGAAGGCTATCTCTATACGCAGGAGAAATGTGTGTGGGCATGCAGGGTTACGCCCTGGTTTCAGGAGGCTTACTGTTTTACCTTTCTGAACTCTGGAAACCCATGTTGTTCGTAGATTCATGCCTGATACGACTCCTTGGAAGGCAGAGTAGGAACAGTAAAAATGCAAAAGAAAGAAACTTGAGGGAGGGGGTTAAGTTACTATGTTTCTACAGTAGTAAGATGTAAACTTTTCTCTGAGATTCAAGATGAGGAATGGTATTTGCATCTGAGTATAATGTTAATTGCGTATGGTGAACTTTGGGTCAAAAAGGAGATAAAGCAAAGGAGCCTGAAAGGTCATATTTACTACATATACTATGTGCAGGGCTTTAAAAGCCTCATCCCATTTAATCTTTGATTCCACATTTTGCTCACTTCTACATGAGACCACTGAGGCTTAGAACAGTTGCTATATGTTAATTTTAGATGTATCCTATGCCATAACAGATACTCTTTCCAGTGTATTCTATTCCGCCTATCATCCTCAGAGCCTGTACAGCAGTGGTATTCAATGTGGGGGTGTGGCCCCTTTAGGAGTTGAAACAACCCTTTCACTGAGGTCTGCTGAGACCATTGGAAAGCAGATATTTTTACAATTCTTAACAGTAGCAAAATTACAGTTATGAAGTAGCAACGAAAATGATGTTATAGTTGGGAGTAATGACATGAGGAAATGTATTAAAGGGTTGCAGCATTAGGAAGGTTGAGAACCACTGCTTTACAGTGTAAAGAAGTGAGCAGCACTCCAGTTTTCTCTTCCCTTTGTGTACTCTCTGTACAAGAAAATCTAAACTGTCTTTTGTGTAGTAAATCTGCCCCCAATTGAGAACCTCTGATACATTCTGTGTGATATTTCTGTACCTCAGTTTGCTAACTTTCCAAATGACTGTCACTCAGCTGAATGATGCTCAGCAAGCATCGTTTCTACCAAATGCTATGTAACACACCGAGAGTACAAAAACAAAATGAATCTAACACGTTTTTTATTCTCAAAGCAATTCTTAGAATGATAGGATAGATAGGAAAGTATATTCATGAAGCATTTTGAGTACTCTCTTTGGGGCATATATCTAAGAGCTTCTCTGAGGAAGAGATGTTTGACCTAGAACTTGAATGTTTGGTAAAAAAGTAATAGATTTAAAAAATGGGGTAGAGAACTACAGGTGTGTGCTGCGTATGAGCAGAGACACATGAGTGTTGGAGATCATACTTCATACTTAGGTCTTGGTTTGCCAAGGTTAGTCCTTGTTGTCCTGATGAAGTTATTCATTCTGAAATATTTGTTGTGTTCAATCCATTCTTAAATATGTGCTGAGTTTGCAGTACAAATTATATGGCCACTTATTTGGGAACTGAAAATAATTCAGTGACACAGGAGCATAGAGGTGAGGGTGGCTAGTGATAAGGCCAGTATTGTCAATTTGATCAAAGTATGGTGGCTTTGGAGACTACGTTGTTTGGGGAGAGTGGAAAAATCATGCCTGATTTATAACAAGGGAAATTACATCAATAGAAAGATATTTAAAAGGGTTGGATAGGAGTGAACCAGAGATGGGGAAATGAGAGAAGTCTGCTGAAATGATTCATGGGAGAAAAAAAGTAAATTTGTATTTTATTGGAAAAATGTTGCAAGTATTAGGAAAACAAGACAATGCTAACATCCTTTAACTAATTAATTGCTAAAGGGGTAGGTGATGCCGGAGCCAGCCAGCAGAGTTGAATGGTTCTTGAGTCGGGAGTGAGGATTAATATTAATAAAATAAACACACAACACACAGGAAACTTTTTAAAGGTCCAGACTCAACAGCCACAGCAAAAGGCAGGCTGCTGCAGCAAGCAGCGCGAGCAGCAAGTCTCAAGTCTCTGCCTCCTCCTCTGCCTCCAGCCCTCTGACCTCTTTATTTGTCAGGAGTTACTTTTAGCCAGTAAAACATCTCAGAATAATAGGTTAATTTGCACAAAGAGCCTGAGGAAGAGGTGTGACCCTCACAAGCTATCCCACCTGCTGTCACAAACAAAAGGAGATAGACTTGCAAGTTCTTCTCTGCCGTTAGTAAAGGCCTGCTAAAAGCCATCTCTCCGCCCAGATTTAAATATCAAAGCAGGCCGCTGGAGTCATGGCTCCCAACAAGGAGATAGTTGAAGGAGAGACATGCAAGGAGATACAACTCAATGGTAGTCAAATGGGAGGTTTCAAGAAAGAGGAATGCTGGCAGGGGATTCCAGCTTCTGGATGCATAGGTGTCTCTATTCCCAGGCACTGTTGCAGGAAGAATAGGTTTTGAATGAGCCAAGAATCTATATGGGAAGCAATTGGTGAGGAATTGGTATCTCTGTGGGTGCAGCCAATATATGGGATAGGTAACGATGGAGCACCAGCAAAAGGCACAGATTGACCTCGGCTTTTTCTACAAAGAGTAACTGATAGGCTGGGGATATGCATAGTATGTAGAGGCTTTGGGTTCAGGCTTAAACACTGGAGAAAAAGCCAACAGGAAACATCTGCTTTGGGTAGCTGAAACATTCTGCTAGTTCACTTTCTCCTATCTTTATAGGGGCTCTGGGGATATCCTGGGTGAAATACTACTGCCGGTATGAGAAAGAGAGTAGAACACTCACCATGACACCGATGGAACAGAAGCCAGGTGCTAAGCAGGTCAGTTCTTGTTACTACTACTTTTTGAGTTCATCTGTGCGACTGTAGCTCAGAAAAGAATATATATTGACACAGTGGCAAATAATCAAGTCTATCATTATCATGTCAAATCATAGTTTTACATGTCCTCCTTGGCCTAAGTTTACGTGAGACATAACTAAGATCAGGCCCAATGTTGTTATTATTTGGCTTGGTTTTTTAAAAAGTGTCTTGCTCTGTGACCCAGGTTGGCTTGGAACTCATTGTGTAGCAGAGACCTATGCCTGGAGCTTGCAACAAGTCTCTTGCCTCAGAATCTTGAGTTTTGGGATTAACAGCTGTTGTTAAATATGCAGCTCCTATCATCAGGGCCTGTAAGCTTGTCTTTACCTTTTCAGCCTGTTTAACTACCTATCACTTTTACAAAGAACATATCCAAAACATAGATAATTCTTTTAAATAGTGACTATTAAAAAGTATGAATTAATTTCCAGATGCTTTCATTAAAATTATATGTAGAAGGAATTAATTATTCCATAAATATTAATTAATACTGGAAATTAATGTGGAAGCAGTTTTCTTTAACCTGGTAGTTCCCCAATGTTTGACACAGAGAGACTATGATTTATTATTAATCTGTAGGCACTATTCTGGGCAGGCTCTGATGTATTCTAATACTGCTAGTCTTAAAATCCACATAAAGTCCAATCGCTTGCCAATCTAATGACTCCTGAGTGGCTTCTGCATCAGTCTGTCCTATGGCACACTTCCCTTGACCTTGTGCTCTCAGTCCATCCAGTCCAGGCACCAAGATCCTTTCTATTTTTTTCCTGTTGCATATTCTCCTTCCTTGTGGTTCCTCAAGGAAGCCCTGTGTACCTCTCTTCTGCCTAGTCACAGGCCTCAGCATCTTTATTAACCAATCACAGATAATTAATTGGAGAACATTCTCTGCATAACAAGGATATAAGAGATGGTTTAATACTTATAACAATATCTGTGGCAAGTCAGTAACCAGATCTCAGGGTACTAAAATCAGCATCTGAAAACACATTACAGGATACCTTCTTCCAACAAGTGGTGTGTGTGTGTGTGTGTGTGTGTGTGTGTATGTGTGTATATGACCAATTCTGTAGTATAGCCCAAGATGAATTTGCTGAAGCCTGTTGACACATTTACCTAAGGGTGTACCCTAGCTTAAACCTAACATTTAATATATATATATATTATATCTAATAAGTATACATTTATTAAAAGTATGTATGTATATATATTGAAGCTAACATTACCTATACCCACATTAAATAGTTACATACTTTTGGAAGCTCTAAGCACACACACGAAGACCCAAATTAGCTAGATGGGAATTTGGAGAAAACAGCCAATTTATGTTAACAGTATTTTCTGTAGATGACCAGTCTGGGATAACTTGTACATAGAAAACTAGAGGAGACTGATTTTGATTCCAGACTGTTGAAAACTCCTTTTTGCTTGGGTCTTTAAGCACTGAGCCTACTATTGTACCTTAAGTGTAGGTTTAAGCTGGGGTCCAGCCTTAGGTAACTGTGTCAGTATGCTTAATCAGAATCATCTTGGGCTACAATACAGAATTTGTTCTTAATTAGCGTGAACTTGTCTATTGTAGCTGAGTAGCAAATGCTTATGAGAAATACTAGCTGCAGTCTTTTGTTTTCCTATTTCATGTTAGGGCATGGCAGTTGCTGAGATGAGGTTTCAAGTAGCATGGGATGGCTTCAAACTCATTATGATGTGAAGCATGACCTTGAACTTTTTATTCTCCTGCCTCACTTCTTTTTATTATTATTATTAGTTACATTTTATTGACTCTGTATCTGCCTCACTTCTTGAGCCCTGGAATTACCAGTGTATATCACCATGACTAGTTTATGTGGTACTGGGGATAAACCCAGGACTTTCTGCCACTTACAAGTGAACTACTTTCTAAGCCCCCAGTTTCTTTTTATTCTATACAAATTATTATCTGGAATCTGCATGTTAGCTTTTCTCTCATAGAGAGTAATAACTTTTAGGTTTTTCATTCCTGTTTAAAAGAGCATTTTGTTCAAGACAAAATCAATAGGCACCACCTTTATATCCTTAGCATATGATAGCAGTTTAGTTTTTCTTTCCTCTTTGTTTCATTGAGTGGATGCTTGCAAAATGGCAATTGTATGAGCCTAATACTGAGCTTCAGTGGGATTTTTGTTTTGTGAGATTTTTGTTTTGTGAGATATTTGTTTTTGTCTCTTTATGGATCTCCAGCTGTCCTGGAATTCACTATGTAGACCAGGTTGGCCTTGAACTCACAGAAATTTACCTGCCTCTGCCTTCTAAGTATTATCATGTGTGCCTGGCTTTGGGCCTAAGAAATTTTAATTTGGAATCCCTCAAGGGATGGAAAGAGGAACTCAGTTTCTCATTGAGAAGATAGTAATAAAATAGAAGTAGTTATTGAATTCACCCAATTTCTATTTGAAAATAATTTCTTCTTTTCAGTCTTCTGACACCACTCCAAGTAGTACTACATGTTTCTGAAAGGTAAATAATAGAAATAAATGATGCTAGGATGATGATAGTAGTAGCAGTAGTGGTGGTGGTGGTGGCAGTGGTTATGGTGGTAGAAGAGCCACCTTTTCCTAAATGCCAGTGTCTTCCAAAGACATATTCTACCATGTACCTTATTTCCTTTGTTAGCAGCACTGTGGAGCACATATCATGAACCCATTTGGAGATTGAAGAATTCACCCTATTCTTTACTATGACATTGACCCAAGTCCCATACCAGGTCAACCTGTAAAGTCTTATTTATGATATAATACTCATAATATTTATTATATAATACTCATAACCTGTTTCCTCCAAAGCAGTACTTTGTTGGAATTTTATCCTTCAATGTTAGACATAATGGAAAAGAGTAAGAATGAAGTGATGGATTTTGAATTTAAGTAACTGGGTTTATAGAACTGGTGATAGGGCTCACCATGTCAGGACCCTTGCTGCCAAGGATGAACTTGTACTGCTCCCACCCTCCCAACTCCCCAGTACACGAAAGAGCTGGGTTTAAATAGAAGTTCCTTGGCAAACTTGCGTTTTGACCTTGAATTAATTATTTAATATTACTCAGGTGCACCTTCCTCATCAGAAGAGTGAAAAGGTTGATGATTGAGTTCATAAACTCTTTTGAGCTCCGTTTACTAGGGACCAGAGATGAGGTACTGGAGACAGAGCATTTTCACATAAAGTACAAAGCATGGAGCGGGCAGTGTGGAGTTGGAAGAAAGTTGAAGTGTAGTTTATAGAACAAGTAGTAGTACATTCAGACCAAGAGTTACTTTGGATGGAGAGAACAGTACATGCAAAGGCATGGAGTCATTAAAGAGTATGGTTTGTATGTGAACTGTTTTGAACTCATGGGACATAAAATATTTGATGGAGGCTAGAGATACAGCTAGAGTGGTGTAGATGGGGCCTAGGATCCTAAGCTGCTATACTGTTGATGCTAGTTTGATGTTGTGAAAACGTTAAAAAGGGAGGATGCCTGCATGGGTCTTGTCATCTGCTTTAAGAAACTCATATATGACATGCCAAGTGTTACATATTGAAGAGTTAATGGAGGCTTAAGTTCTTGTAGTGGAAGAACAGCAGAAAGGATTGGCCCATGAATGGCTGAACTCACTGCTAGAGGAACACCTGTTAGTTAACTAAAGGGCACCAAGATATGGGATTTTTTTATATACTGAGTTTTATTTACTTTTATATTTTAAATTTTGGGACAGGCTCTCACTGTGTAATTCAGACCAGCCTTGAACTTTTTCTCCTTCTCACTCAGGTTGGATTTTGTGGATTACAGGTATGCATGTATGCATGTCTGAAATGGGTATAGATCTTAGCTCTGTGAGCTGTTTACTGTTTGACTTAGAATAACTTGGTGTTCACCAGTGATGCATATTGTTTTGTATGGAATAGTGCCATAAGTACGGACCTGGAGCTTAAGAAATGTTTCTGAGACAGTAACTAATAGTACTGTAGGCTAATAATACTCTTCTTATTTAATGAGTTGTGAAGTTAAGACAGAGAGAGAAAAACTGACTTGCCATGGTCACAGAGCTAGTAAATGCCATAACTACAGCAATATCTCAAATCATAAGCTTTCTACTTTCAGGCTACTTGGACCTTACCAACTTGCATAGCTTTAAGCAAGTTTGCTTCTCAGATTAACCTCTGGGTTATGGTGAGGGAAGTTGGTGTTAAACTACTTCATAAAACAATAAACACCTAATTAAAAAAAACCTTGTAGAGTATGTGGTCCGTAGTGTTATCTAAATTTTTTCTCTCTTTTGGTGCTACATTGACCCTGCTGAGATAATAGAGGAAAACAAACAATGGAGAATCAGGTGGTTTTTCTATGACCACCAAGGAGTTTGGCATATTTGTGTTCCCACGGGAAAATTACAAATCACGCTACCCTACATGTATCAATCATAAAAAATTGCTTTGATTCATAAACAAATTTGCTTATTTCTGTGCTTTTTCTCGACCTCTGGAGAGCCTGTTTTTATGATTTTTGTCATCCTGAAGGAGCGTACTGCCACATCCAGTAGGAAGTGCCTACACTCAACTTTTCTCACATATTCTAAGGGTAGTTTCAGATAGTTCCTTAGCCAGTCTCAGCTTCTTCCTCAGAGGCCTCATGAAAATTTGATTATATATACTTAATGCCATTTGGGCAATCCATCTCCTTTGCACTGCCCTTAGGTGATGTGCACTGAGCTTCCTGTTGAGTGTACTGTGCCGGGGAAAAGGCACTGGCCTACCCTGAGTGCTTTCTCCTGGTCTTGGCAACTGATTCTTTGAACAGTGAGAAGCCACTGGCCATGTTATTTTAAGAGTTGAAGGTAAAGGTTCTCAAACATATTACTCCTTCTGTCTTGGTCAACATCATCCAAGTGACCCTGAGGATACTACAGGAAAAGGAGGAAACTTGTGTGAATTTTAAAGAAATGCTTGTTAATGCTTCTCTCATATCAGGGACCCATGGACTTAACCTTGAAGTACTGCGTCAGAAGGAAGACAGAGTCAATTGACAAGAGATTCTGTTTCGATATAGAAACTAATGAAAGGTAAGTTAGAAGGCTGTAAATTGACAGGATCATTGCATATTACCCATGATTCTGGCTGGCTCTTTTATTTTCTCCTCTTATTTCTTGTTGCAGAAAAGGAACAAGTTATATATAGGCCAGTGCTATTCTTTCTTCCTGGACTTCCCTTCACATGAGCCTGTTAGACCAGGCCCAGAGCAATTTTTTTTGTTGTTCTGTTTTGTTTTTGTTTTCCATATATCCCTCAGCCACATTTACCTCACTAGCTCTGGGCAGAAAATGTCTTTCCTAAAATTTATTTTGCTGTCATAGATAAAAAAATGTTTTTTTTTT